ATCTCATCGACGGGCGAGAGCATGGCCATCTGGAGAATGAACATCGCGAAGCTGCAGCCTGGGAGTGCACCCCGAGTGGCCCGCGCGGGATCCGAGAACACTGCGTCCCAGACAAGGCGCCTGCTGGCGCTGTGCACCTCGCGGGCGAGGCAGAGGGTCCACCCGGGAAACCCACGTCGTAGACCCGCGAAGACGATGTGCTTCCACACGACACGGTCGAACCACTTTTCGATGTCAACGATCGAGTGGATGGCGATGCTATCACCCTGAACTCGCGGCACTCGTTCCTGCGCCTCCCCTTGCAGCAAAACCCGGGCAGCTGCACCAGCGGTGCATTTCCCACTTCTAACATGAGTAAGACGAGCCTTACACCAAAGCCTATACAGCGAGTCCAGTAATGCTATAGGTCTATAGCCCCCCCCCCCCGACTTCTCTAAGATCACAACGTGCACGTGCATCATCGTCGCTGGCCGCGCAGACCATTGCTCGCAGTGGTAGAACATGTAACCCATGAGAGACAATGCAGAATGACTTGCAAGAGACCAATGACGCGGTCGACATCGATCAGCGCCCGCCGCAGCCCGAGCAGGGGAACCGTTGGAGGCCTGTCGGAGGACTTGACTGCCCGTAGGCGGGAGCTGTGGCCCTGATTCCCGCTGGCGTTGAAGCCCTTCGCGAGGATCCCCCGTGGACTCCATCGGCGCATCGGGGCCGCCCCAGATGCCTGCCCAGAAGTCCTTCTGAACAGCTGCGACCGCCGAAGCATGACTGACGGGCCCAAAGACGCGCGAACTGGAAAGAGGGCCCACCCTTCGGTTTAGTCCAAAGGTGAACGGGGCGGGAGCGATGCCCAAGACAATCTCTGAACCATTTGACAAAACACTGACCTACCTGATGCCAAGCACATCCTCAGCACGTCCTGACGCCGGCAAGCCTGCGCGCGCGCCCTTTGCCTGCGACCCGATCAAAAATCGTGTTCCACATCGAATGATTGACGCCGCCTCCGAGGTATGCGCCCGCACTTCTGGGCGACGCAAGCCAGATCCAAGGCGATGCCGAAACAATCGCAACGCCCGAGACGCAGCAGTGCAAGCGGGGCAACGGTGCCCCAGCGCGCCTCCTGCCGTCGAGCAACGACACTGAAAGTCACTGCCTCTGCCGACGTGCTTGCCGACGCACTCCAAATCAGAGGTATCAGCTCCTGCTCCACTCCCTGGTAAAACTTGCCGCGCAACGAGCCCAGCCTTTCCCGGCGCCCGTCGGCAGGGCCAGGCCCGAGAGCAACGGCCGCCTCCATGACGTCCGTCCAAAGGGAACCAGGATCTCTATGATCGACCCTGTCGTCGTGGTCGACATCATCGCTGTCTTCCCCCAGTCGCGGCTGCCGCTGTGGCTTGGCAGGAAGTAGAATGGGGCCTCGAATCTTCTGGACGCGCTGAGCTCGAGACCTAGCTCCGGCGCGCGCCGGCGTGGGGCAGCGCGGTCGAGGGGCACAATCATGAACCCGACGTGGGTGTTGCGTAACATTGGCCATCGAGTCGCTTGCCAACCAGCAGTCGATGGAGGCGCGCCCGCCCGTCTCAGCCGCTCGACGCGAACCTCCGGGTCACGCAAAAAGGTGTTCATCAACTCGTCTGACAAATCCAGATTCGCCGCGGACTGCAGGCGGCGCGTGCCAGCCGCCGCCTTCGGTGCGAGGCGCGCGATAATATCTGAACACTTCCACAAGGCGCTCACGACGTTTAACGTCGTCGTTGGCGATGCCTATGCCCTCTCGGAGGCAGAGCGAGCCCGCGATGAAGCCACCGCGGGGGCCAGTGTGAATAAAGACTGCCACGCACCACGACTCGACGAGCACGCGGTCGCGAATGAACGGCACGCTGTCCAAGTAGGCGGCGCAGATGAAACTCCGAGCGAGCAGCCCAGCACCAGCCATCATGGAGCCCGTAGGCCACGCATACAATCGGCGATGAAGGGCTTCCAGCCATTCCTTGCACACCAATATTCTGCCTGTCGTCGCTCATTTCTACGAAGCCTTACCTCCTGCGAAGATGCGACAGGAGCTCCAGCTGCACCTTCCTCTAAGAATGAGCGTAACGTTGACCGCGCAGTGGCGCTGTAGGTGCAGAACTGAAAGTCCCGCCTCTGGCTCCGACGCGGTGCCCGCCTCGAGGCCGCGGATATAATAGTGGCTGCCTGAACCGCAAGTAGATCGGCGACGACAGAACCTGAGCGAAGCCCCGGATTTTCAGACCCAGATGTAGAAAGTGGCAGATCTTCGCCAATCACGTGCGTTCTAACACCTGTGCCACTCGGCAAAACTGCGGCGGCGGAACCTGAGCGCAGCCCAGGACTTTCGCCCAACGATGCTGAGGAAGGTGATGACCTCTCGCCAGTCACGCGTGTCCTAGCACCTGTGTCGCTCGGCAAAACGGTGGCGACAGAACCTGAGCTGCGCCCAGGATTTAACGCTGTGGACCCTGCCGTAGCTGAATGTGACAGCCTCTCGCCGCTCACGTGCGTTCTAACACCTGCGTCCTGTGACAAAAAGTGTTAGAACTGAACCTGAACGAGGACCAGGGTTTTTGGCAGCCGATCGAAGTGACTACGCCCTGCACGAGCCTGGGCATGATGGCTCCATAGCAGCTTCCAGCGGCTGGTCCCACGGCGTCTCGATGGGTGGTGGTGGTGCTGCTGCAGCTGGTGTAGGCGCCGAAGTTGGTGGTGCTGACGACGCAGCTGGGGTAGCCGCCTCCTGCACTTGCTTGAACTGCTCCCGCAAGGCCGACAGCATGGCCGCCTGGTTGCCTGCACCGAAGGCCGCCCCAGCCCCACCGATGAGATGGTCTGAAGCCTTGTGAGCGACTCCTGCAATACAGTTGTCTGCTCTGAGGACCCAGTCGATGCAAGAACGGCAGCCCGCGCGACGTGCACCTCTGCCTGAATCTGCTCCATCTCGGTCTTCGCGACCACAAGGGCATTGCGCTTCTCCTCAAGCTGCGCCGCAAGGTCGTCCACCACGAGCTGCAACTCCTCGACCTCCTTGGCCTTGGCGGTCTGCCTGTCCAGCGATCGCCGCTTAAGGTCGTCGGGCGTGCGCTTGGCCTTAGCGCGCTACTCCTCCGCGGCCAAGTTAGCCTTGCTTGTCTCACGTTGGCCGAGGAGCCTGCGTATCCCAGCTTCCGAAGAGCAGCCAGAGCTTGCCGCGCTTGTCCAACTTTGGCAGTGGTGGCGGCTGTGCCCTCGGCGGCCCCAGCTCCGTCGTCAGCTGTGCCAGGCCGACGTGACAGAGATCTCTTGCGTCCAGCGGGCTTCTCTTTGAAAGACGGGTCAGGCTGGCCAGATCGATCCCGACCACACTGGAAACAATGAATATTACAAACATATTCTTGAACCCGCAACGGCGGGTGGCCGCACATGCCCATCGGGGCTCGCGCGCGCCATCCTTCTTGGACCTTCCCTTCGGGGCAGCCGAGCTCGTGCGCGGGGGCTGGCCGCCACCTCCCATGGGCGTGGATCCGTGGTGTCGCTGCAGTATCTGTCGGGCTGAAGGCACTCTCAAGAAAGCACGTGCCTTAGAGGGCCTCCGTCGCAAACGCCTGTGCCAGGCAGAAGAACGAGACCAGCCAGTATCAGGCCCAACGTCTGCAGATTATGATCGACCAGCCGCTGGAACACGAACTGGCCTGGGGGCGAGTACAGTATCGGACAGTGCTGTGTGCATGCCACGCTGTAGCCACGTAGAGGAGGAGGAGGAGGAGGAGGAGGAGGAGGAGGAGGAGGAGGAGGAGGAGGATGAGAAGGAGGAAGAGGAGGAGGAGGAGGAGGAGGAGGAGGAGGAGGAGGATGAGGAATAGGAGGAACAGGAGGAGGAGGACCATTCCCAGAGGCCTGCTGCGAGATGCTGGGAGAGCCCAAACGCCCAGAGATCCGACGCTCCCGAAAAGCTGGAGCGGGCGATTTTTCCCTGCCTAGGCTCTGCCCAGAAGGGTTCTTACTCTCCTGGCTTAAAGGGCCGGGCAGTGGGAACCGGCCCAGGCGGTTCCCCCAGAATCCGCCCCGCGGTTCCCCCAGTTACGTCCCCTTAGCTTAGCGTTGCTTACGTCATCTTAGCTTAGCTAATTTCATCTTAGCTTAGCTCAGCTTCATCTTAGCTCAGGTTTATATTAGCTTAGCTTACCTTCATCTTAGCTTCGCTGAGCTTTAGCATAGCAGAGCACAGCATAGCATAGCGTAGATAGCATAGCGCAGTTTGATGTCGCATGGGTGTAATTCCCTACCTAGGCTCTGCCTCGAGGATTAGCTTAGCTTAGCTTAGCTTAGCACAGCGCAGCGCTGCATTAGCATAGCATAGCATAGCACAACATAGCCAAGCATATCATACCATAACATATCATAGCGCAGCATAGCATAGCGCAGCTTAGCATAACATATCATATCATAGCATAGCACAGCGCAGCATGATGTAGCATAGCTTAGCTTAGCATAGCATAGCATAGCGCAGCATAGCATAGCATAGCATAGCATAGCGCAGCATAGCATGGCATGGCATAGCATAGCAACTAATGCTGCTTTCCTAGGGGCTCCAACTTCTAGTGGGGTAATCTTTGTTTTCGACCTCCAGGGGCCCTCGCCTGGCCCCTGGACCGTCAAAACCGACTCAGGACGACAAACCGGCCCTAGGGAAATGGTCATCTCAGCGACGACAACACATGCGTCCTCCGCGAGATGGCATAGCGACCTTATACGCCGCGGCTTCCGCGGGCCGCCAACGCGGCCCGCTACCTTGGAGACGAGAGCACTTACGCGCCACCTTACGCGGGAAGCTCACGCGCGAATGCCGGCGCAGACGACCCCGCTCTTCTGCGTCGCTCATCTCTCCTCTGGACCCCTTCGCCTCCCGTCGCCAAACGCTCCCTGCCTCTCGCGCTGGGGCCTCTTCGGACGTGTGGCCGCACGCGTCTGGATGCGCGCCAGGCCCCCCGATGGAAACGCGGGTCCTCCGTGGAGGTGATGCAGCCCTCCGTGCCGGGCTCGCCGAGGCAGGCCTTCAGGGCCACCTCGCCCCGGAAGCCCGCGCCGCCCGCCACCGGCAGGCCAGCGACCTCGCCCGTCAGAGGGTCGACGCTGAGGATGCCTGGCGGCGAGTATCCTCCTGCTCCTCGCTGCGCCTCCGCCCCCTCCACTCTCCGCCCCTCCTTCCCTCTCCTCGCCCCTCCTCCTCCTCACTCCTCCCCTCCCCACCTCCTCTCCCCTCCTCTCCCCTATACGTGCCCTCTCTCTCTCGTGCTCTCGCTCTCCTCCTCGCTCCTCCGCTCTCCTCCTGGCTGCTGCGCGAGCGCGGCGACGACTGACGAGTTTGCGCGCGGGCGGGCGGGCCGTCGCTGCATCCGGGCAGGTCCAGGCTCGTCGGGTTCCCGCCGCACGGCCACCCGCACACCCCGCCCACGGCGTCGCAGCGCAGGCCGAGGTCGTCGCCTCTCGGGGCCGCCAATGTCGTCGTCGTCGTCGTCCTCCTCCTCCTCCTCCTGCCTCTTCGTCCTCCTCCTCCTGCCTCCCTCCTCGCCTTCGTTCTCGTTCTCCTCCTCGTCCTCATCGTCCTCATCGTCCTCCTCCTCCTCCTCCTCCTCCTCCTGCTCCTCCTCCTCCTGCCTCCCTCCTCGCCCTCGTTCTCTTCGTCTTCGTCCTCATCGTCCTCATCGTCCTCATCGTCCTCCTCCTCCTCCTCCTCCCCTCCTCCTCCTCTCCTCCTCCTCCTCCTCCTCCTCCCTGCTGCTCCTCCTCCTCCTCCTCCTCCTCCTCCTCCTCCTCCTCCTCCTCCTCCTGCTCCTCATCCGCCTCCTTCTCCTCCTACTCCCCCCTGGTCGTCGTCCTCGTCTGAGGGACGTCCTCCTCGGCCTCCTCCCTCTTCTTGCGGTCGTTCGAGGATCGAGGATCGAGGTTCGAGAATCGCGATATGAGGACCCTTTTGGGCCTTGGGGGGGCGCCCTCGTCGCCACAGCTGGATTCCCGTTGAAATTTGAGGTTCGATATTCGATTAATGTGTTGTAGCTTTTCTGCCTCTGGAGGCCCGTTTCAGGTCGCGGGACTGTCTGAAATCAATATGGGTCGGAAGAGAACTGCCCAGGATGGACAGCGGGAAGGAGTCCGGGGATCGATTCCTCCTCCTTCTCTCATCCTCCTCTCTCCTCTCTCCTCTCCTCCTCCTCCTCCTCCTCCTCCTCCTCCTCCTCCTCCTCCTCCTCCCCCTCCTCCTTTTCCTCCTTCCTTCCTTCCTTCCTCCTTCTCCCCTCCTCCTCCTACTTCCTTCCCTTCTCCTCTTCCTCCTCCTCCGCGTCCTCCTTCTCCTCCTCCTCCTCCTCCTCCTCCCCTCCTCCTCCGCCTCCTCCATTCCTTTTCCTTATCAACAGCTTCTCCCTGTCGCACCCCGAGGCCAGTTTTTAGGGCGTGTCGGGCGTTTCGCCTGAGACTGCTTCACCATGTATGAAGCTCACAAGTTGGCAACAGCTTCGCAGATGGAGGGCGGGTCGTTTTCAAAATGTGGCTCTCGCTTTAGCGCGGCGCACATTCGTATTAAACATTTGCAAGAGCTTCACACATTGAGGGCGGGTCGTTTTGAAATTGTGGCTCTCGCCTTAGCGCTGCGCACATTCGTATTAAACACTTGCACGAGCTTCATGGATTAAGGGCTGGTCGTTTTGAAATTGTGGCTCTCGCCTTAGCGCTGCGCACATTCGTATTAAACAGTTGCAGTAATTTCACGGATTGAGGGCGAGTCGTTTTGAAATTGTGGCTCTCGCCTTAGCACGGCACACAATCGCTCTAACCTTTACAAGAGATTCACGGATTGAGGGCGGGTCGTTTTCAACATGTGGTTCTTACCTTAGCGCGGCGCACATTCGTCTGAAATTATCCCGGCAAAGCAACCTAACAGCGACGTGTACAAGCATATCTGGAAGCATTCCCCTTAAGATTCAGGTGCGACTCCAGTTGTAGAATTCTGCTGTTCTCGCAGTCGCATTCGCATTCGCAATGACAGTCGCAGTGACAGTCCTAGGGATTCCTAAGGCATCCTTAGGCATCCTTAGGAATCCATAGGAATCCTTAGGAAACCTTAGGAATCCTGATTCCTAGGGATTCCTACGGATTCCTGAGGATGCTTAACTATGCCTACGGATTCCTAAGGATGCCTACCGATTCCTAAGGATTCCTAGGGATTCCTAAGGATTCCTATGGATTCCTACGGATGCCCCAGCCTGCCTCAGTTTCAGCCTCTGCCTCAGCCTGCCTCAGCCTCAGCCTCAGCCTGCCTCGGCCTCAGCCTCAGCCTGCCTCAGCCTCAGCCTGCCTCAGCCTCAGCCTGCCTCAGCCTCAGCCTCAGCCTCAGCCTCAGCCTGCCTCGGCTTGCCTCAGCCTCAGCCTCAGCCTGCTCGGCCTCAGCCTGCCTCGGCCTCAGCCTGCCTCGGCCTCAGCCAGCCTCCCCTCCTCCCCCCCCCTCCTCCCCCCTCCCCCCCATTCAGCCTCACCTTGTCTCAGCTTCGGCCTGCTCTCATCAGCCTCAGCCTCAGTCTCAGCCCTCAGCCTCAGCCTCAGCCTCTCAGCCTCAGCCTCAGCCTCAGCCTGCCTCAGCCTCATCAGCCTGCCTCAGCCTCAGCCTGCCTCAGCCTCAGCCTCAGCCTGCTTCAGCCTCAGCCTCAGTCTGCCTTCAGCCTCGGCCTCAGCCTCAGCCTGCCTCAGCCTCAGCCTGCATCAGCCTCAGCCTCAGCCTCAGCCTCAGCATCAGCCTCAGCCTCAGCCTCAGCCTGCCTCAGCCTCAGCCTCAGCCTCAGCCTCAGCCTGCCTCAGCCTCAGCCTCAGCCGCAGCTTGCCTCAGCCTCAGCCTGCCTCGGCTTGCCTCAGCCTCAGCCTCAGCCTGCCTCGGCCTCAGCCTCAGCCTGCCTCAGCCTCAGCCTGCATCAGCCTCAGCCTCAGCCTCAGCCTGCCTCAGCCTCAGTCTCAGCCTGCCTCAGCCTCAGCCTGCCTCAGCCTCAGCCTCAGCCTGCCTCGGCCTCAGCCTGCTCAGCCTCAGCCTCAGCCTCAGCCTCAGCCTGCCTCAGCCTCAGCCTTGCCTCAGCCTCAGCCTCAGCCTGCCTCGGCCTCAGCCTGCCTCAGCCTCAGCCTCAGCCTGCCTCGGCCTCAGCCTGCCTCGGCCTCAGCCTCAGCCTGCCTCAGCCTAAGCCTGCCTCAGCCTCAGCCTCAGCCTGCCTCGGCGTGCCTCAGCCTCAGCCTCAGCCTGCCTTGGCCTCAGCCTGCCTCGGCCTCAGCCTGCCTCAGCTCGGGCATTCAACATTTTGCACAGGACTGGTGTTCTGGGAACACGAAGATCACGAAGTGGCCCACAGTTGGCTCTGGGCAATCAAAATATGGTACAGGAATGGTGTTCTGGAAACACGAAGAACACGAAGTGGCCTACAATTGGCTCCTGGCATTCAAAATGTGGCCTGGGAAAGGTGTTCTGGGAACACGAAGATCACGAAGTGGCCTACAGCTGGCTCCGGGCATTCAAAATGTGGCCTGGGAGTGGTGTTTTGGGAACACGAAGAAGACGAAGTGGCCTACAGTTGGCTCCGGGCATTCAAAATGTGGCCTGGGAATGGTGTTCTGGGGAGGAATCCATAGGAAACTATAGGAATCTATAGGAATCCTGGGGATCCTCCGGCATCCCCGGGCATCCGCCCAGACCCCCCTGGGGAGTCAAGATGCTCTCTTTTGAGCCCACTAGAAACCTATCAGTCTTCGCTGTTAGGAAAATGGAAGAGCTTCGCAAATTGAGGGCGGGCCGTTTTCTAAATGTGGCTCTCGCCTAAGCGCGGCGCAAACGTTTTAAACATTTGCAGAAGCTTCACGGATTGAGGGCGGGTGCTTTTCAAAATGTGGCTCGTGCTTTAGCGCGGCGCACATTCGTTTAAACATTTGCAACAGCTTCACGGATTGAGGGCGGTTCCTTTCCCACATGTTGTGTTTGTCTTAGCGCGGCGCACATTCGTATTAAACAGTTGCAAGAGTTTCCTGGACTCCCATCATCGAAGTGCCAAGAATTGCGTTTTGAACTTGTTGTGGAATACGCGGGCGCAACAGTTATGTTGATTCGCTGCGTTGACGTCCCAGGAATGGCGTTCTGGCGCGATTCAGGCTTGTCAAGACGCAACGGTCAGGTTGATCCGTGGCGTTGGAATCCCGAGAACATTTTTTTGGCATGCTTCAGGGTCTTCAAACGGTTGTCTTCCAAAGAGGCGGCCCTTTCAATGGAAATGAGCCTTTGTAGGGGCCTATGAAGAGGGAACTTGGAGGCCTATGAAGAGGGAACTTGGAGGCAGGGTTTCTTCTAACACCGATGGTGACGTTTGGGTTTACACTGGTTTTCATCCTCCTTCTGTTGTTCCTCCCTCCTTCCCTCCCTCCCTTCCTCCCTCCCCCATCTCCATCCCTCCCTCCTCCTCCTCCTCCTCCTCCTGCTCCTCTTCCTGCTCCTCCTCCTGCTCCTTTTCCTCCTCCTCGTCCCCCTCCTCCGCATCATTGTCCTCCTCCTCCTCCTCCTCCTCCTCCTCCTCCCCCTCCTCCTCCTCCTCCTCCTCCGCCTCCTCCTCCTCCTCCTCCCCCCCCCCTCCTCCTCCCCACTCCTCCTCACCCTCCTCCTCCTCCTCCTCCTCCTCCTCCTCCTCCTCCTCCTCCTCCTCCTCCTCCTCCTCCTCCGCATCATCATCATCGTCATGATCATAATCGCCCACATCATCCACACCATGATCAACATCCGAATCATCAACAACAACATCATCAGCATCATCATCAGCATCATCAGCCTCATCATGATAACCATCAGCATCATCATCAGCATCATCAGCATCACCATCATCATAGCCATCAGCATCGCCATCGTCATCGTCAGCAGCATCATCAGCAGCAGCCGTATCGTCAACACCGTCATCATCAGCAGCAACATCAGCACCACCATCATCACCATCATCATCATCATCATCATCATCATCATCATCATCATCATCATCATCATCATCATCATTATCATCATCATCATCATCATCATCATCATCATCATCATCAGCACTCCTATTATCATTATCAGCACCACACCCATAACCAACACCACCAGCAACATCAGCACCATCAGTATCATCAGCATCCGTATCCGCATCAACATCACCGTCAGCATCGGCAAAATCACCAGCACATCAGCATATCATCATCCGCAGCATCATCAACATCATCAAAATCATCGTCATCATCATCAATATCACCATATATCTCTATCGCAAGTTATGGCCAATCAAGCTCCTCGAGCCTGAAAAATGGGGGCAATAGAAGCCAGACGCCTAAAACTTGCAACACTCACCCCTACAGCCAACAAAATGGTGGGCGCAAAAGGCCCTGAACGGGGGTCTTAGTTCACCCCCGAGGTCTGCCCCTCCCCGATCATCGGGGGG